TTATGCTTAGATGAGGTATTGGTAGTCCAATTCATCGTACGAGTGAAATATTTAAGGGCTCTAGGAGGTAAAATGATACTAACGTACAACAGTCTGATATATGTTGGGTATAGTAAAATGGATATCAGTTCAAGTAAACTCAACATGTATAACTGTTGTGCTAAACCTTTAATAAGTCCTGCATTTTAGTTAATGAATGGAAGTTGGATAACATTATGCTATAACAATGAAAAATTAAAAATAAACGTCATCACACGTAAAAAAAGTAAAACATAAAACTTGTGCGAATATGGTTAAATATCATCCATGGAAATAATACTTCTGTATGTAAGTCAAAGTAATTAAGTTTTACAAATTGTTTAAGATATTCATTGGACAATACCGAAAACATATTATGAATACACGTTTTATCCTCTAGATTACATTTGGTGAAAATAAATCTTAAAATACCTGTAGTATGACAAAAATACCATCAATAGAGTAACAAAAAATCCTCCCTTTTGATAAAATACATTAACTGTTCTCTTTCATATTCGTTCAGTACCGAATAACACTGCGATAGCTTGAATAATACGTGTAATATAAAATACCAAGATACTGATAAATGAGTTACGGGATTATCTTTTGTAATCTGTAATATCACCCATATTAAGTCAATCGAATGAACTTAGAACGGTACTGTAACTGTAGTGATGAAAAGATGATGGAAATTATTATCATAAACGACAATAATATTACAGAAATGTTACTGTATGATTTTGTTACATAGACGAATTATGAATTAAAACTCCCAACCTCTCTCGATAAAACTTTCTAGATTATGCATAAGCCCTACGATGATAAGTAAAACAACAGTTTGTAGGCATTTGTGCCAATAATTACGAGTTTAATTTCTTCTGTCTCACTAAAATAACCCTTCAAATTTAGGTTTACTTTCCGTAACGAAATCAAAACGTATTGGATCTTGATGGGTAAAGTTGTCGGAGTGTAGAACGTTGGGGGTAGAGGTAGCGATAGACGAGCGTCGTGGGGGTTGTATACAGTGGTAATCTCCAGCTAAACGTGCACCTCCTTCTACACGAGCCTACCCGAGACTTCAGGTGGAGGGTGGGTATCTGGTTGTTTGTGGACAAGTGTATTACTCTTAAGCAAACAGGGGTGTGGTTAGACCTCAATATCTTCGGATTTTTGGCTGTGTTTGTTGTCTAGTCCAGTATCTATATTGGCTATCTTTTATGAGGTAAAAAGCTACGGTTGTACTCAACTAATTTTGTGGCAATCTTTATTTTTTACTTACAAAGTTTTTTACCACCGTTATCATACTAATTTTACTAGGTGATGATAACGATTGCAAATTACGTTAGTGTTTTGAAGTGTTTTACACTACTTAAAAAGTCAGTTTATTACTGAAAATATGCTCATGTTATATACGCCACTATCAATTAAAATGAGGACAAATGTTGGCTAATTTTAAACTAAATGTTGAAGAAAGGAATGTATAAAAAATATGAAGATATTTAAAGAGGTTGGCCGAATATTACCATACTCTAATTCACACTATATATACAAGCATATCTCTTTGAAAACACATATTTGGTAAACATATGTTCAAATTTAAATTAATAACTAGAAAAAATGTATATAAAACACGTTGAACATTTAAAAATACTTTAAAAAATGAGAATCAAATAAAACTCATGCGTGCGAGTTAAAAATGCAAAACTAAAAAGAGTTAAACAACAGTTAAATATGAATGGGTACCTACTTTACATGCACACGTAACCATAAAACAGCGGGTATGAAACTGGTAATATTTTAAACCACAACCAAATCATAGACATCTTGTCTACACTAAACTCAACTGATTCTAATTAAACTATAAGTCAACCTCCCAAATTTAATCTCCAATGCATAAAAATGATTATAAATCAGTATTAACCCCTTTATATTTCCCTGAGGGTAGTAAAGCAACGACCCTCTCCTCAGCAGTGTATGTCTACATCAGCAGCCTCACTTCATTACCTTCCATCGTCGTCAACATTATAAATGTATCCCGCGTCTCATGCGGGCCCTTGGTTAGTACTAATGTGAACGTACAGGCAACTAACTCCCCCTGTAGTGGCCGTGGTCATCCAGGTTATATAGGGAATCCAGTGATATGTGTTATAAGAAAATACCGAAATCACTTTTTGTGTCGTTAATCGTTTGCTTTTTAAACTGATACCTAATCAAAATTGTTCTCATTTTCCACGAATGATAAGATTTTTCTATAGAGTACGACTAACTCTACGGGATAATATGTTATGGGACTCAAACACTTCGGTTATAATAATAAGGTATATAAACTCCACGTAAGCTTGTATAGTAGAAACTGTTTCGTCTCAAGTGAACCTCTGTAAAACCAAGAAACTCCTTGGAATATAAGATACAGAAGAGCGAAACATGAACTCAAAATAACAATATTAACAAATTACACATCAAATATCAGCTTGTTGAATGATACCGGTCACTTGACGTGTAGTTTTGCCATTTAATTTTATATTAAAACATGCAAGTCATTTAATTGTATGGTAAAAGTGGTTTAACATATTTTACTGTAGTTCAAATCATGTAGTTCTAACCGTGGACTAACGGGTTCGACTCTCAGAAGTCTACATGCCACAGCGTTTCACGTTAGCTGCGTTTAGAAAACGTCACAGATTTAGCAATATACGACAATTATACACTCGCACAGCAGTAAAGGGTATTCAAACATCATTTATTATAATTATTAAGTGATTTGGAGGTTAACATCAAGAAATTCATCTATATTCTTAAACTCAATATAAAAAATTGCATATATTTCACGAAACAAAGGCAACAGGGTTAACAAAGGTTTTAAGTTTATGGTTTCCATCCCGCAATTTATTGTCGTTTCATCTCGATCCTTCCGCAAACACAGGCGGCGGACAAACAGTCCTAATAGGTCAACCCTTGTAATCCGAGGACCTTCGTAAACGAGAAGTTGCCCGCACCAATATTGACATCCTAGAGGACATGTCCTCAAGTGTTTGAGGAGGACTTAACACCTTGAGTCAACTCTGCCACTGACTATTCCCGTGATCCTTTGACTGCCCACTTTTAACTAGTTTAATCTTGTAGCCTACATTGTGTTTACCAGGTGCCTTGTATAATGTCTATGAAGATAAGTTATTGTTATTCAATTAAATTGTAAAATCCTATTTTGAATATAGGACAATCCCAAAAAGACATAACGCAGTATACCATCAAAGTATTTCAAGAAGAGGGCTCCCAATATTGAATTTTGCCCTATGCAAATAAAGGTTATGTTAGGATTCATACCTCTATGAGTTCATTTTGTGTCTTAGGAACAAGGATAAGAATCTGTTTTACTTAATCTGTGTGGACATAGAAATTGTGTGTGCTTTTCCTAACGAAATGTTAGTGAAACAATTAATTGATGTCGGCTTATAATTTGCATATATACATTGACTATTGACTCATTTACACCACCTTCAACTATATAGTGCAAAATACAATGTTCGGGGCCCGTTAAAGCTTATCAATGACTCGTAATCCTAATAATAAAAGGGTTATTACATTATTACAGCAAAAATATTACTGGTTATAGTGAAATTAATACACAAAGTGTGTATATTTATCAAATAAAGTAGCCTCTATTACAATTTAATAAAAAGGCTATTAGTAACCTTAATCATTTTATTTGAGTTTATTGTGTATAAATTAGGATTATTCTCCATCTACTTCAAAAGATTAGACAACGCTTACTACGACCTCATGAAACTACTCCCGTTTTTTCTGAGGTTTTCCCACATATCTTTCCTCTTCAGCTACAGTTAAATCTCCTCATTGGAATCCCTCAGTCTTTGAAGATATTGCTTCAAGCGTCTTTCAGTATTCTTTTATTTTCCATAACATGATGCATACACATTATCTAAGAGTTTTGTTTCTCAATAGCAATTTGGTAACTGCAAAGTTTAAAACAACCCAGCACTTCGTATATTTTCCCACCAAATTAGCATCCACTTACATTAAATAAGATGTAATATTAGATAGTAAATAATTGATGTAGAATATAGATTTTGTAACACTTAACGCATGAAAATTTTCGAGTTTATTCATTTAGAAAATCAAATTTCGTAATTAACTGCAGGGCGGAAGGAAGGGCCCGCTGGGCCGTCAGAATATAAACAATTCGGCCCAAATATTTATCCCAATGAAGACTAATTAAATTAAGGAACCTTCGTGGAGGGGGGAGCAGAATGTTGCAGTGTGGGGAAATGTGACGACGATAACTTGTAGGCAGTACAGTAATTAGTTATGGGGCGAGTGTAGCAGAGAGTGGTGAGTATGGGTGTCAAACCCCCAACTTACAATAGTTAAAGATGATCTAAGTAATCTTAAAATTAATTGTTAAGCTTAATAGTTTAACAGTAAGAGGGCAGGTGGCGAATGTAATTCTATCTTGCTGTATTTTAACAATATCTAGTGATACCCATAACAGTGTTACTATTAAAAATAATCTTTAATTATACGGTAGTTGAAAAAAAATAATTTTTCGATCATAAAGTATAAGGGGCTTTTGGCCATACGAAGACAGAAATCTGTTTAGTCAAATATGTTTACTTGTCTATCATATATGAGGGCTGGCATTAAGATATACAGGGACACTATAAATACTTCCAGACTGCACACAAATCACGTATGGTTTTAAAAGGAAAAGGAAAAGTAAATTTGAATCAACCCTCAAGGAGGAACATTATTTTTTTAATATTAAAACAAATGCTTTGCAACCAGAACCTGTACTAGGTAATATTTTTAACAACAAATAAGATTTAAAATGTATTTTTATTTCCAAGTTTTGATCCAATTCAGGCAAATAATTTCCAGCTATTTTGGCTTAATAGATTCTGTTAAACTATCTATACAGTAAAACATGTGTTTAAAGCCGCCGAATAAAGAGTAACTATAGAACTCACCTTGCTCATAGCTTGACGAGCTATCGGCCTCCGAACCGACAAATCTGTAAACAAAAATTAAATTAGTCTTAAAAGAAAAAACACCATTTATTTAGCTAGCATGTCTTAATTTCGTCATAAGTACAGTTATGATAAGTACAGTAGAGTAATTGATTTAGTTTTACTTAATGGACCAGATTTTTCTTCAGCCGCATGTTTTTGGATCTTACTTAAATCTCTGGGAGTATTTTCTGATTCAAACTTTTCAGAGGCAATTGTTTTTGAAGTTATATTTCACATAGTGATTTTTTCATTCAAATGTATTCAAATAACTATAAAAAATCCTAATTACATTTTGTAGGGTTGCCCAATTTGTACGTACATTTTCTATTCCTGCACCTCTTAAAAAGTCTTAAAATTTGCTAAACTATTTGAAAACATTATCTTAAGACATATGTTTTCAGGACTGCGTGTAAGGAAGGAGTGTGTCCACGGATTTCGCTGCTAATTAAGACTCTGGGGTTCGAGCCGAGGGGTGAGGGGGAGAGGTCGGGATATTGATCAAATTGCTGATACGATATGCATACTTCTCGGTCATCTCGCCTAATATTGGGACCAGTCTCATCTAGGGATAACCCTTCCATTACCACCAGTTAAATCTGATCCTGTAAGGGTTTGGTTTATATTAAAGCTTAGCCAAATTTATGTGTTCATATAACGTACTCAGGACCTTGCAATGAAACTTGGCACGCTAGAAAGTTAATAAGACTGATATTAAAATAGTTTTTGTGAAAAATGCAATACAAATAAAATACCCCCGCCGCAGCAAACCTGCCGTCCAAGCAAATTTCCATTTGGCTAAATTGATTTTCAATTGATCTATTTAAATAACATTAGGTTTAACGAGTACCTAGGTTTGCTGCTACATGGAATCTAATAAAGTGTGTGTTTTAAGTAAAATAATTATTGCTTAGTATAAAATGAATATATTTGCCAAGTTTGATTAAAAGATATCCATAAACAAGCAAACTACAACATTTTACAATATTCTCCATAAGAATAACATGGGAATTTTTAATTTACCATTTTTTAGTTTTCTCCGTAACCAATAACCGTACAAAAACACTTTGATATACTGAATTGTTTGTTTTTGTAAGCTCTTTAAGAAGGTTTAGAGAAAAATTGGGAAATTTTGTGTTTTGAGGGTCAAAAGTGAGAAAAACAAATTTTCACCCCATAAAACCCCCCATAAAACCCTGTTCCCATGGTCCGATCATGCTGGATCGCGAACTCATTCACGTTTATCCCGCCTTACACCTTCAAACCAAATTTCATCAAAATCGGATAAAAATTACTCAAGTTATCGTGTTCACGGACACATATATATATAAATCTATATATATATATATATACATATACATATATAAAAATTTGAACGCATGGTGTTTTTGGCCTCTGGGAACATCAAAATGAAAAAGTAAATCGGTCACGGGCCTAAGTCTTACCATGAGACCTACGGTAATAGCTACTTCCCTATAGGGAAATTCGCTAAAAAAAAACACAATTTTGAAACAAGTCATTGAATCAGTAAGAGTTGTATAAAAATATAACGAACTTAGAAGTAGAACTAGTGAAATGGTGATTTCCCATCGGTCTAGGTATACGAATTGGGATATTAATTTACAATTATTTGTAAACAAATGTTTTATTAACAAAGAGTGTTAAGAGAATAGATTCAAAACAATTGTTTGTTTATGAATAAATAGCTTTACGTTGTACATACATACGCATTTTTATGTATCAGAAATCGTCTTTTGTAAGAATACCAATACCAAGCAGTGTTTGAAAATGTATTCGTTAAACACATAGAGAGCATGAGTGTCAAGATGCTGAGAATGTTTTAGTGATAATGAAGCTTACATTTCGCGAAAATCTAAACAGTAAACCACAAAATATAGAAGCAAACACTCTTTTGTCAGAACCCCACAATATGCCGAAATGAGGGAAAAACGACGAAAAAACGAATGTGGACTTGAGACCCTCGAAAGATCCTTATAGGTTTAATATAGGTAGCATTATTGGGCTTGGGGCAATATGAGAAAACAATGGGGCGATCTTCCGCCCTGAGTGGGGAATAAACCTCTTCTGACTTTTAATTACCCGGCATCCCCCGCCGAGCAAATACCCGCCAAACTCACCTCCGAGGCGGGAAAAATGCAGCGGGAAGGATAATCCTAAAAGTGTGACATAAGCTTCGTCTGATAGCTCATGGATTACCTAATGATTCTAGCAACATTGTTACACGTGCATGGAGTTCTTAAATTGAAAAGTTTGTTAAGTATTTTGCTACCGTAAGGTAAGAATTTTAGAGCGGGACTTTTCGTTAGATGCATCGCTTTTAGCCTCGATAATGCTAATGGTAATTAAAAAGTTGGTCACCAGCTCTTATCAAATACCTAAGATACATGTATTGATCATATAAGGTTAAATTATGTTTTGTAATAATACACAATTTAATTTCTGTTTTTAGCTTGCCTATCAAGAAGTGAAATTTTAAAAATCTTATTCTTAGATGTAACTTAATATTTTAAAAACAAAGATGTTTTGTGTAGAGTTTTGAAAATGAACAGCGTTGAATTATCTTAACTTTGTTAAGATATACAAAATATAATGACCCTCGCAATAAACATTTCCTGCATCGTGTATTGTGTCTTATAATATCTGCGATCTAGTTTAGTTAATTAATTCTACCTCAAACTTTCCAAACACAGCAGCCTCCATATTTTCATAACAGAGCCGAGCCTAGTTTGAGCAGTTGGTTCAAACTTCCAACTTGACCAGAGCCAACAGTAGGAAGGTCAAATGACAATAACCTCCTGATCATTTGATTCAACAGAGGGCTCATGAGATGTTATTGTAGGGCAGTGGTAGACTACCCGTTGCTAATACACTATACAGTACACACATACGACAGAGACTGCCATGTTTAAGTTTTAAATTGTAATTTACTAACTTTTTTACCATCAAAATGAATGTTCAAGGTATTTCATACACTTTTTACACAATTCTGGACTGAATATTTCATATGTGGATTTACTATTTAATATCACTCTACGACTACCAGCCATAGAGTGACTGACGTGGGTTGATTAATATGAGAGATTGTTTGGAGATTGGGGACTAAAAACAGCTAGTTCACATATACAATTCATAGTTCATACATTCCATTTGTATTACTTAAGTATTCATGTTACATTTAATGGGTCCTTAACTTAAATTCCAAGAAGAAAACGTGACATTAACAGTAGGCGGATTAGGGCGGTAGTTGATGTTAGGGAGGCGACGACACGACTGTATTAGCCAGATAATGTTCATATGGGACGTGTAATACCGTCACACGCCCACACAAACACACGTTTACCCCATGTCTTGGAGATGTTAAGGCGCATGTTCAGTTTCATTCTACTTTTAATACAAAAAGTTACTTTCGAATGAGTAATAAGAGAAATACACAGCTGAAATGTTGGATCGGCACTGAGTGATACTCCAACAGAATTTTGCTGTAAGTAATTTCGTTCTAACATTAAACATAAAAAAAACCAAAATCTCTCAAAAAAGTTTCAATAATCAAGAGCCTATACCATATACAATTTTAGGTACATTTTAAAATTCTTACGCCTAGTTTAATTTTAAATAGTGTAAATCAAGAAAAAAAATCAACAAGAAACTTAAACCTTTTCCTCACAAAACGGACATCAGCCATCATGTGATATAAAACCAACGATTATATACGGAATAAACAGTAAAACAGACGATTGATCAGAGATACACACATAAGTAACACACGTAAGTATGTAAAAATGCTACGATTGTTAAATAACTGAACCTAAATAACACCTTAATAAATTATGAAATAAATAAACCATTTTATTAGAGTGAAAATCTTCATGCAATTGTTCGTTTGAAAGGTGTGTTGTGTACGTGTCCCACTTTATATAAACTGTGTAACGTAAGGTAAAGAAATTTTCTTTCGGTTATCGAAACCCATTCTCTTAACTCTCCTACAGCTTCTTCAACCTTACCTTAATTAAATGTCTCTCTCTTACTTCACCCCAATGTGACGTCACGCCAATGTGGTTCCTGATATGAAAATTGCCCCAAAGGGGCGCCACCACTTGACGACTCACGGGCTCTTACACTTTCAAAAATGCTTTCTTTTTGCAGTTTATAGCTTGATTTTCTCTCCTAATGTCAGTTTCGGTAAATTATACACGGTTCTTTTTAATGTGTAAAAATGCATGAAACTAGCTGACATTAAAAATATACTCATATTTCTAAAAGCTTTTTTTGCTTTGCCTAAACTTTGATATATGTTTTTAATTATGCACTTGTGTCAGTTGTTCGCCAAACTACCGATTCAAGGTCAAATACCAATTCAAATCAATTATAAGCAAATTGTAATGTGTAAAATATTTTACTTAGCAAAACCCTTATTAGTTTAACGTAAATGCTGGAAATAAGTTCATATTCTAGTTTTTTTTTATTAATTTAATTTTGAATTAAACTAATAATTATATCAGTTGACATAGTTTCACAGTTGTTAATTAACTGGTGATGGAATTATATTGGTTTACCCTATTTCGTAAATATATATTTAGCACATTAGGTTCAACATACATATTATGTTTCAGAACCGGAAAAAATATGTTTTCCCTAACTGAACATACGCGTCATATGTGGAGTTAAACTATCCTTTAAGTATGACAGCCGGTTAGTTTATCTTTTAAATTTATAACGACCTAAATGTTGTAAAATAATTATGGATAAATACAATTCCAGATACCCGAAGATCATGGTTAAGAAGGTTGTTTTCGTTCTGTTATACCAGTAATGACTGTATTTGTGGCAGAAAATCATGCAGCTCCTCTAATGTGGGTGTCTTTGTGTGTGGATATAGTTTACTAGTCTACGAACCATATCCCTTCACAAAATTAAAATTCATCCCTTAATTAAAATTTATACAAGATCATAAAATAATCGGATTTTTGAGAATGAATATTTTTGT